AGCCAGATCATTGGTGTGCTCCCAGTAGAGGGACTTTCAAGCTTAATATTGATGCAGCTTTGTGTAAATTTTCAAAGGGGGTTAGGGGAGGTCTCATCATTCGGAATGATAAAGGTTTTCCTATCTGGGTGGTTTCATTTTTCTTCTCAGGGATATCTATTCCAGAAGTTGCTGAGGCCCTGGTGCTCAAAGAAGCTCTTATCCTCTTGTCCAGATGGGGATATCATCCTATTGTGGTTGAGGGAGATTGCTCCAATGTAATCACTCTTTCACGTTCTTGTCCTCTATCAGCCTTGGTTTTGGAAGAGATTAAACTCCTCGTATCTTCCATTCCAGATGTTTCTCTTGCCTGGACTCCTCGCTCATGCAATGTTGTTGCTCACCAAGTGAGCCAATGGGCCTTGTCCCATAAATGTTTTGATATCCATTGGTCTGTTTAGCCTCCTTGGCTTCGTGAAGCCATCAAGACGGATCTTTCTTTTGTTGGTTCGAGTTTGTCTGGCCCTGGTTTGTAGTTCCTCTTCCCTTTGGTGAAAAAAAAAGAAAAAAAAATTGTCAATTAGCACTTTTTTACTTTATCGGACCTAACCATAATTAATATTTATTACCTTAATATTCAATTTACCATAGTTAATATTTGTTATCTTTGGTTGACACCGTCACAGCCACCATCTTCACCACTACGACCACAACACAACTACCATATTCATTCTCTAACGGTCACTCTCTCTTTCTCTCTCTTCTTTTTGCACTTTGATTTATTTATTTTTTATTTTTTTGCTCTCTTAATTTTTTTTCCCTTGATGACCTGACTGTTGCTCTCTTATTTATTTATTTATTTTTTTTATTTTCTTAATTTTTTTCTTCGACCCATTATTCAACATTTCGTGAATAATAGAGTTTCAAACAAAAAACATATATTGCTTAATCCTGGTATGGAAACAAAAGGTCTCCAAATTTGGATTTTCTGAAACAAAAATAAGAAAAATCTCCAAATTCTGATTCTGGCAATTTTCTTGTTTTCATTCCCGGTCATTTACGTTTCACGCATTACAATTTCCTTCAAATTTTATGTCACAAATACAATTAAAATATCCAATCTCATCATCCCAATTTTGAAAATAGTTTATGGTATCAAAAAATGTGCATCCGAGTGATTAGTATCTCTTCCATGTTCTTCCGAGGGATATACTGGTGTAGGAATCAATTGGCCTCCACCCACCTCTGTTGACCTAGAAGTCGATTTAGGAAATGAAGCTTCACAATTGAGGTGGCTAATGCTTCTTGTTATTTGGAAAAAGTCCACAGTGAAGGATATTTATTTATATATATATATATTTTATATTGTGTTTGGAGGCAAAAGATTTGTTTAATAGTGTTGTCAAATGAAATTCTCTCTTGAAAAAAAATAAAAAAATAAATAAAAATAAAAAATGAAAGGACACAATGGTGGTTATGATGGAGTGGATATGGCGGTTGTGGTTGAGATTGCAAGGAAGATGAAAGAGATTAAAGAGGAGAGAGATTGAATAAAGGTAACAAATATTAGTTATGGTAAATTGAATATTAAGATAACAAATATTAACTATGGTTATGTTTGATAAAGTAAAAAAATGCTAATTGACTATTTGACTTTTGGTTGAGAGCCTGCCTGTATATATATATATATATATATATATATATATATATATATATTCCTGAGTAATGTCAAAAGATAATTTATTTAACAGAAATAAGTTTTTTTAAACCTTTTCTCTTTTAATGTACACTGTATATATATGTGTGTGTGTGTGTGTGTGTATTGGTCATGTCAAGAGATAATTTATTCAACAAAATTAATTTATTATTATTTTTTTTGTATATATTTATATATGTATGTATATATATTGGGTCTTGTAAAAAAAAATTAAAAATATTAAAGATTTGAGAAAGTTAAGTAAACGAAGAGATCGTTTCATTAGAAGTGTCATTTCTTGTAAGACGAGAATGTAAATATAAAAATAAATTGATGTGGATACATTTACTATAATTAATTAGTATACTTTTACACATATTGTGGCACACTTGAACCATATAGATAACATTCAATTAAAGTCAGCTTTATGTCACATATTCGGATTTGGACTTTTTCAAGTTCATGTGCGGCCTTAGACACGTCCAAACCCTTTTGAAGTGCTAAATCAGCTTACCTGAGTGTGTTAGCTTAGTAAAAACTTAGGCCAGACAAGCTTGCTTTGCTTACTAAAGTGTGTAATAAAGGCTAGACAAGCTTACTTTACTTACTAAAGTGTGCAAGATGAGAGAAAGGCAAGTGAGGAAGAGAGTTTGAAAATATGAACTTATATTGCACTAGAAAATATTACACTTGATTGCTTGATGAGGAGCAAATGAACTCTCACCTTTTATGGGTCTTTGGCACACCCCAAATTTTTTTTTTAAATAGTAGTAATAATATATAGATATTAATGATATTAATAGTAATTTTGTATAGAATACTAAATTTGGCGCTACCAAATATTTTTCAGAATTCAATTAACAATAATTATTCATGGTTATTAATGGTAATTTTGTATAAGAAAATTAAAGTTGACCACTTGACCTCCCAAAATTTTATAAAGTTCTCATTTATAGTTACTTATCTATGAAAATTAAAGATGGTTTATGAAATAAATTATTTATGACTCTTTTTAACCTTTTGGTATTGTCTTCAAAAATTCAAACTTAATAATAGAAGTGTTTATTAGTTTGTAAGTCTTGCTAAAAAAAAAAAATACAATTTATTAATGGACTGATATTGTTTATAGATTTGTTCTTAAAAATGTACATTAAAAAAGCATTAGAAAAAAATAAATTATTGCAATTATTTTATTTATTTATTAAATTTAACTTTATATCACTATTTGCCTCTCCCAATTGAAAATTTCTAGCTCTGCCCTTGCCTTTGCAAGAAAGTTCTAGAAATGTATAAGGGAGATATCTAGAATGAGGTTCTAGAATCCTTTAAAGAATGATTTATACAAGACTAGAGTAACCTAGAGAACTCTATACATATCTATACAAGTCTAGATACCTCCACATTATTTTAGAGAATTTCGTCCATAACTGTATAGAGAAGTCCATGTCATATTCTGTTAGGAGTTTGTGTGACGCTTGCACAATATAACTTCTATTTGTGGGGCTTGACACGTGGTAAGGGTTTATACTCTCACTCCCATCATTATTATTTTATCTCCCAAATTTTATTTTTTTATTTTTGTAACGAACTAATCAATTCATTCGTTAACAATTTTAGAATCTACCATAATTTGCAAATTAAATGTTAGCAATCAGCCACAAATCGCACGTAACATAATTTTTTTTTTTTTTTTTTTTTTTCTTTTCTTAAAAGATGGGTGATATCATAATACAGAGAACTCTAAAAGATTTAATACAAAAACTGTATTTAATACGATAGAAAGGAAAAATAAAAAATAAAAATAAAAATAAAGAAGGAAAGTACAGCACTAATTACAAAAGAAAATAAATTAAAAGAAAGGAGATGATAATTTTCACCTCACAACAAAAATTGATAATATTAACCTTAAATTGTATTTGGTTAAGGTGGTGAAAAAAACAAAAAAAATTATTTTATGGGTGCTAAGTGCAGATTTGAAAATTGAGTTGCTATAAAGTAGGTATAAAAAGATAATTATCTATAACATATTGAGTCATTCGCAGTTTGACTAAAAAATTTAAAATATTAAATTAAATTAACATCCAACTTATATCTCCTTATACCCTTAGAAGCCGGAGTCCCCCCTCCCCCAATTAGGTTCAGTTTTAGAGAATAATTTTAGTTTTAAGAAAACTGAAAAGTAATAAGTTTTGAGAATAATTTTAAAGTTGTAAAAGCATATCTAGCGGTCCATTAAAATTTTTTTGTGTGTAAATCTGATCTGTATTTATACAAAAAAAAATTTGTACTAATTATTTTTAGCTCTAGCGGTTGTTTGATACCTTTTGTGTAAAAAATTATCTCCCAATAACAACCAACCGCGTGTTATACCCAAAACCCTACATAACTTTTACAAACTTACTTCATTCAGGTTTACTTTTTGGCGATTAAACCTCACATCTCAATCTTCCTCCTTTAGGAAAAAAATAATAATTTTCCCCTATATTTTACTTTCCCAACCAGTCAATAACAAAACTTTTACGCCATTGCCACTGAAATTCTAACTTATAACAAATAATAAAATTAGATTTAAGTATGTAGAAATTACGTGATTAAAACATATATCTAATCTTTTTTTTTTTTTTATTTTTTTTTATGGTAAAACAAACACACACACACACTTTTTTGCCCACACCAGGGCTTGAACCCTTCCCTCTTATTTGAAGATGGGGAGGTTACAAATCTAATCTTTGGTTAGTATATATTTATCTCATTAGAATATAATGTAAAAGGATAAAAAAATTAAAAAAATCCTAGAATCTAAGTAAGATGAAACGAAAGTGATGAATCAAATTATGTTTATTAAAAATAAAAAATAAAAGATGATAAAGAAGTTCTTACCTTGCCGCTAGTTATAGATTCTTCTCTATTCTACTCTAAAACAGTGAGAAACAAATATGCGTAATGGAATGAGAGAGAAGAAAGAGAATTGCGAGTAAGAAAGGGAAGGAGAGAGAAAATATGCTTACAACAGTGTAAATGGATTGTGTAATCCTTCTAGGCATTGGTGATGTGACACTATATCTTAACAAACTTTTTGAGATGAAAAAAATTTATAAATTACATTTGACAATGTATATTTTACACAATATTTTTTTTAACAGACTGCTGTACTCTAGGAAAGATGAAAAATAGAAGCGTACATGCCCTTAGTGCTAAGGTGTGGGGGATACCTCCGTGAAAAAACAAATAAAATAAAAAATAAAAAACCTGTTTGGGTGTATTTTTTATTTATTTTTACTCCAATTGAGTTTTTAAGAACTGTATTTATAATCTCAAAAACAGTTTTCTATTTTTCAAACTTTAAAAAGTTACTTTCAACAAACAAGCCCTAACCCTCTGTATTTTTCTTTCCGTCTTCGTTTCTTTGCAAAGAACAGTCCAGATAGAGTGTAGATGAAAGGGATACTAAAGAAGTTTCACTGACGCTGATATCCGCAGCCATGGTTTCCGTCTTGACATGGCTCCGCTACTTATCCCACAGATTCCACTACTCCGTCTTCTACACTGCTAAGGTTACTCCAACCCCCCTCCCCCACCCCTCTCTCTCGCTCTCTCTCTCTCTCTATATATACACATATATACACACACAAAACATAATTTATTTGTATGGGTAGTTTTGATCTTGACTTTTTTCTTTTTCCAACGTTTGGTTTCTTTTCAGAAGATGGGGTTTGTGCATTCATCGGTATTTGTTCAGAAGGGTTACTGGGTCTCTTTGGGTTTTGTTATTTTATTTATTTAATTTTTTTTTTTTTATTTTTTATTAAATGAAATATCTCTCCATATGTGTTTACATCGGTAGGGATTTATTATATTACTATTAATTTTTTTTTTTAAATGTCCTTTTCTCTCTTTATTTCTTTTTTCTTTTTGTCCTGGTTGGTTTATGATATCTGCATTGATAATTATTATTGTTCCATCCATTGTGTTAATTTGTTAGTGAAATATGAGACATTTACTTGCACCCAAAGGGAAAGGCAGAAAAAAAGGGTTTTTTTTTTTTTTTTTTTAAAAAAAAAGGGAAAATAAACTTGAGAGATCTTATTATTTTCCATTTTCTACTTTCTTGGATTTGATTTTGTGTTATTTGCCATTAGTTAGACTGAATCTGTTGGTTGTCATAAGATACTAGAGCTGTTTAAAACTGATCAAAAGAATAAATATAAAAGTTATCTGGCAATATAAATATGACACAGCTTTAGCTAAAAAAAAGAAAAAACAAAAGAAAAAGAGAAAAAGATATGGTTGGTTCCTTTGGATCCCTGTATATATGAGCCTCAAATGTAAAAATTGAGAAGTCTTTGTGGAGGCTAGCCTTTAAAGAAGTGGTTTGTTCGGTTCTATTTGCTTGATTCTAGTTATAACCCATTTGCTTTAACTTCGTAGACACTTTGTTACTCATGCACAGTTGTGGTGGTGGATGTTGGACCTACTTTGTTTTAAGATTGTCCTGACGTAATATTCAATACGATGCAGAATTTTGAACAACAGTTCACTTGCAGAAGAGAGGCGATTGATGCAGTATTGAGAAATATGTTTCTACGGAGGTTGACATACTTGCACTGGAATAAAGGTGAAGAGATGGTCCCGACAATAGCAGGGCTGGGAGGAACTCTTCTTGTTCGGAAAATACCACAGGCGGATCTAGAGTAATTTTACAATAAACCAATTTGCAATGTTACTTTTACATTTCGTCTTCATCTTTTCAAGGAAATATATTTTCATTTGTTATGAGATAGCCCATTGGAAAAGTTGCAGTTGTGTCACTAGCCCTTTGGAAAAGTTTCCAACTGTTTTTTTTTTTTTTTTTTTCCTGAATAGTTTCCTACTGTTTCATGGCAAATCCTTATGAAATTTAAACTTGGGACCTTTGATTTTGTAAATTATGCATTTCACTTGCGCATAACAATTGAAAATCAACTTCATTTGCTGGAAGTTCCCTTCAATTGACTCGAATATTTAACAGGACATTTCTTAAATGTACCCTAGACCTTTTTTTCTTCATGTATGTCAAGGTAATTATCAATCTTAGTTGTGTTCGCTTCTATCTGTGGTAGGAATTCGTATGTTCCATTGAGACTCTCAAGGCTTGGGAGCACAGTTGTTGTTTCTCCATTTTATTTTTTCTGAAGGTTCATTTGCATCTAGCTGTGCATGTAAAAGTGCAACTACACTATCTAGGTTGTGCTTATTGTTTAGTTTCGCAAACTACGAAATAACTGAGAGGCTTGTGTTTGCAGTTGCGTTTGCTTGCCTGCATTTTCTGGAAATTTGCCAATCTAATTGTGATATCTTATATAAAGTATTGCAAATACTTTAGTCTTTGGGGATATAAAAAATTTGCCATGTTACCTTACAAATTGTATCTCTTGCTTGTACTTAATAGTGGAATTCAGGTCCACTTTTCCAGTAATTTCCTTCAGTCTACTTAAGCTATCGAAGGACATATCTCAGCCTTACCACCTTTAAAGTTTTTTCTTGGTTGAGAAATTCAAGAAGATACTATGAACCCTAGTGCAGTATGCTTGTGTAATAGCTGTTCAAATGCTTTTAATAAATTGTTTAGAGTTAGCAGCACAAAAGCTTACTACTATTTTTGTCCATTAGAAGTAATGTTAGTTATATAACCACATATATCTATTGCCGTACACACTTTGTAGGTTTTGTGATGATTGAATGGCTTAGATTGTTAGTCAATTCATATAGCATCTGTTCTCTTTTGATTTGCTGACTTAATTGCTCTTCATAAATCCATAACCTTTACAATTTTTAGCATTTTTGCTGATTAGTAACGTTGAAACTTGATTGTCATATAAGCACTCAAAAATAATGCAGAACCTTTCAAATCCTAGTGGATCCCAATTACTTTTCAAGCTGTTTGGATTGGCTGCAAATGAATGGCATAATGCTTTGTTAATATTAATTTTCAGTTGGCTGCCAAACTACTCTATGGATTCTAAGCCACTGTTTTCATGCATCTACCCATCTGAGTTGTGTTGCTGTCCGAATGAATGGTGTAAGAGTTTGTTATATTAACTTAGTGATTATTTCTATGGCATGCATGTTATCCAACTTATCCCATTGTAAAGTTGGTATAGTTGACTTGTTATGCTATATATTTGTATAAAGTGTAGAATGTGCTTTCTGTTGCAAGCTGGCAATTTCTCGTCAAACAAGTCTGTACCTATCTATGGTAAGTTTATTTTTGACTGCTGATTGCAAGCCTTGGCAAAGTAGGGTTACACACGCTGGCACTTAATAGACACAATGCAAAAGTTTGACAAATTCTGCTGGTATTGAGTAGTATTCTAATACATGTTTGGATAAGTTTTATTGAATGCAACCAGTTTGGACATTCCATGGACTTTTGGTTGCCGTACCATCATAATTGGATTTGTGCTGCTCCCCAAATAAGTTGGGATAAGGTTTTCTGAATAATCATCTCTACGGTGTTTTTGGTTCAAATATGTTTGTGTGACCTTTTTATTATAAGTAGACAATAGTAGTCATGACTTGATTCCATTGTGACCTTACAATTGTCACATACTTCTTATCTGGCGTACTAGGACGATTTTACTGTACATTACTCGTTTAAAATCCTTAACGTGTCTTGTTGAAGCTTTTGGAGTTTGTGGTGGTTGTGCTGTCGGTTTATCTCTGTGTCTTTGTTTCTAATTATGTGGTTCCCTGACTTGATGCATTCTTTTTGACAGACAAGTTTTTGTTGGGGATGTTGTGGTTTTGGAAGACCCTGAAATCTCAGGTAACTATCTTGTTCGGAGAGTGGCTGCCACAAAAGGGTATGAAATGGTGTCTAATGATGAAAAAGATGAGCCTTTTGTCCTTGGAAAGGACCAGTGCTGGGTGTTGGCTGACAATGGGAATTTAACGCCCAAGGTATATAATATGTATGCCTTTTCTGGTTTTGAAAATCTAATCATCTTATTCTTGCTGATATTGTGGTACATTTATTGGATTAACTTGCATGTGTTCTTTACAACAATCTCTAGCTAAAATTTGTAGTAGTACTTGGCATTTGGCAAACATTCGGACTGTTTACAGGATAGGGAGAGTTGATCATAATCTTCTTGTGTTGATTTCAGGATGCCAATGACAGTCGGACATTTGGCCCCATTTCGATGAAAGGTATAGTTGGCAGGGTTTTATACCGCCTGACAACAGCCGTGGACCATGGTCCTGTAAAGAATAGGTGAGTTTATCTAATAAAATCTCCTCCTATTTTCTATGTATATTGGGAATTATCTTGTGATGATACTTACGTGTTACTTTTACCAGTAATTTCAGCGTGCCACTCGATTCACCTGTACTGGAAGTTGAACTGGATGTTGATGAGATGGCAAAAAATCACAAAGCATGAGATGACACCTACAAAGAAAGAACCTGGATTCAATTGCTTTGTTTCTTCTTTTCTCATCTGTTGTCTTCATGAGACATCTTCTTCTTTTTAATTTTTTTATTTTTTTTGGGTCTAGAGTACAATGGAAAACGAGTCAGATTTTTCTCAACGTTACATTTATTATGGGATTGTCTGGCGAAAATGTAGAACGGCTAGCATTTCGAGTTTAGCTGTATTTACTATTTATAATTACTTTTTGAACTAGCAATTGAAAGATATTGGAACCCAGGTTGATACAAGGCCCTCGGTCTGCCTTCATTGATAAGGTTGATCTTTTGTTAGGGACACTGACTTTGAATTCTGGACATTTCTTCTTAATGATGTGCAGATTTATTTATTTTTAATTTTATCATTATTATTATTTTTTAATTTTATCATTATTATTATTTTCATATATCTTGTCAAGAAAATCTGACACCGACTTGAACGCTTTCATGCTTATTGGATTTGAGGTCTTGGAATTGCAACAAGTTCCCTTGTATTTCTTTTGAAATTGATTTCCTTTTGGACATGTTACAGATGTTGATGTCACTTGTCAATTTTAATCTCCATCTAGCGCGAATCACCAACTTGACAAGGAAGAAGAATGTAATAACTAATTCTGGAGTCTAGCAACTAGGATGGCATGGAATTGTTGAAGTTTTGGAATTAGAAAGAAAAAAATTAAATTCGATTAATTTAGAGAAATCTTAGTTCAAATTCTCCAATTTCAATTCTAATGTTCAAGGCTTCAATTTCACGCTACGAGTATTGAATTTGTTGTTTGGACCAAGGACTCAATTTGGGATTTATTTTCATGCTGAATTTCCCCTAATCATGTTTGGTGCAAACTGTGGCCTATGCCTGCGTTTTTGATAAAAGCCTTATTAAATCCTATTTTGTGAAAAAGAAAAGAGAATAGCAATAGATATTTATTAGATTTTAGAAATAAAAGAATAAATGATATTTGTTTAGTTTGGAAATCAAAGCGACAGTTAACCGGGAAAATATATATATATACACTACAGATTATTGTTAGAAGAGTTTGAACATAAATCTGGGAGTCTCTTCTCTCCCAAAAAAAAAAAAAAAAAAAAAAAAAAAAAAATGAAGAAGAAGAAGAAGAAGGAATGTAGATAAAAAAATATTAATTACTATTTATAATTTTTATCGTTAGCATTTTTGAACTTTAACAAAAATTTCGGTTAGACACAATTATTGAGTCTCACATTTGATTTAAGTATAATGATATAAAATAAAATAAAATAATGAAAATAGGCCTATCATTAAAAAATAAAAAATAAAGACCTCCGTAAATTATTTCCAACTGTTTTGAGATCCAAACTATAAAGGGTAAAGTGCATAAACCCCCTGAACTTTCAGTCAATTACATATAACCTCCCTGAATTAATAAGTACCCCTAAACTATGATAAAGTTGCAATTAAGGACATCAGGTGAGGTTTCCAGCATCGAAAAAAGAGGATTACAATATTATCCTTAGTTAAACTACGTCGTCTTAACTCAAATCTTAACCATCCAATAAAATTGTGACAACATATCACTACCTATTTTTCCCATCGTTGTTTCACCTAGTCTATATAATGCTCACCAAAAAGGTTTGTCGGCTGATTTTTTTTTGTGTTCACCGGAATGAGACTTCACTAGTTTGCTCGATCATGGAATTTAAGCTTCTCATCGGCGTCGACAGTCATGGACTTTAAGGTTGGGCTCTCACCGGTTTTAATGGAAAAACCTTCATTTTGATTGGAGTGGCCGGAAACAGTCCCAGTGTTATCCCCTTTGGCGGGCACTGTGCCAGCCTTCAATTCTCTTTTGCTATTCACAAGATCGTCGTCTCTTTAAATTGGCAACATAATCATTTGTTAACTTATTATCTCTCTAAATCGATCAATTACTGAGTTGGAACTCATACAAACACTTCGATCTTGGGAATACATAGATAAACCAAAAGACTGATTGTATCAATTTATAGGATGTAGGCCATGGTGAGAAACGTGGTGGTGCCGGCTCAGAGCTCCATCGTCAAAGTGATGTCACGCTTGGTGAGTTTGAAACACTCCAACTCTGCTCCCGGCGACCAATAAGTTCAACCAAATCAGTTGTTCTCAGTTTTGGATGCGGTGTCGGCGTGTCGCGGTTGTTCCGTTCTCAATCTCCATGAAAGATGGAAAGAGGTGCAGTTGCAACAGAGTACGCAACTGGGGAAGATATATGTGTATGTGTGTGTGTGAAATTGAGAGAAAAGTTAGGGTTCGTTTGTGATGGTTGCTTGGCTGGTGATTTGGTAGGGATAGGGTTCCAACTTTCAACAGAGATCTGGGGTCAATTTGGTGGTGGTTTCAATTTGCAGATTTGGGTTTTGTTTTGTTTTGTTTTGTTATGTGTTGTATAGGCAAACAAATAATCTCTCTAAATCGATCTGTCACTGAGTTTAAACTCAGAAAAACTCTTCGATTTTGATGACAATTGATTTGGTGCCTGAGTTGTACGATCAACAAAGATAAACTCAATAGGTAACAAAGTGTCACGAAGTGATTCATAAGATGTTTGGAGGATGGAAGACACGCATGCTAGTTGGCAAAGAGCAGAGTTTGACTGGGAATGATTTCAGAGAAGGGGCGTGCAGGAGTACAGGATGGTACCTCTTCAGAGTTCAGACAGGTCGACTCGATTGAGTGCGAGGAGCTTGTCGCTGGTCGTGGACTTGACTATGAAGAAGGAGTTGGCCATCCTTGCACAAACTAGTCCGGAGCTGGAGTTGTTCCCTTGATGAGACCAAGACAGGTTGAAACTAGTCAGCATGTATTCTTGGGAGGGCTGGTCGTGGTGGCTGATCAGAGCGCTTGTGCGAGTTGAAGCAACGCCTTGGTGCCGCACGGGCCGTGCCGCTGCACCAAATCTCTAGGCCTGTGACAAAAGACTGATTATAATCTCTCTAAATCGATCAATTACTTGGGTTTGAACGGAGATCTCAGTCCTAGCAGTGTTTCTTCTTCAGTGAGGCCCAACATTTTATGAGATTTTGGTAAGTTTTTTCCCCTAATTTGGGTAAGTTTCTACTCTTTTGGGTTGGGTAAGGTCAATTGAGATTAGAATCTAATGAGTATGCGCAAATATATATGAATTTTCAGGATGTAGGCCATGGTGAGAAACGTGGCGCTGCCCGCTCAGAGCTCCATCGTCAGAGTGTGTCACGTTTGGCGAGTTTATAAGGCTTGCCAACTCTGCTCCCAGCGAATAAGTTTAGCCAAATCAGTTGTTCTCTGTTTTGGATGTGGGCCACGGTTGTTCAGTTCTCGATTTCCATAAAAGATGAAAAGAGAGGCTTTCATGGAAAGAGAGGTGCAGTTGCAACAGAGTAGATATATTCATATACTATGTTTTATAATATAATATAATTGTATTACAGTTTACAACATGTGTATATGTATATAAGGGTAGGATTGTCAGTTTGAACTTACACTATAGGCTACGTGACCATTTTTCGGCTAAAATATAACGGAACAGTATCATTTGGACTTTTTTGCAAAAATTGAAATAGTTTAGAGGGTTTTCTGTTAAAAAAAAATATTCAAGGGATTTCTTGAAAGAGAGAGTAAAGTTCAAGGGGTTCTTGCACTTTACCGAACTATAAATTTACCGAGAGGAGTCAATTCTCTCTCTTAAAATAATCTTGGAAGCTTCCGCTGAGAGATCAATCATACACATCCCTTCTCTGCTAAGTAATTGTTTCTCCGCCTCTCGCTCTTCCTGTCAATTCCCCTCTCTCTCTAGACTTTGCCCCATATATATATATATATATATATATATTTATTTACGCGTATGTATATGATATTGATATCTGCATAATTTTATGTTACTGAATTTGAAACCTTCTTTGAAGTCTCAATTGAATGGGGCAGCAACAATCCAAAGAGGAGTTACTGTATGAGCAGGTTATTGTTGGAAACGTTGAAGCTATCAAAGCTCTTTGCGCAGATGGTGCAGGTCTTGAGGTATATATATAACATCTCCCCTTCTATATATATGTGTGTGTGTGTGTATCTATGGAATCTTTTTGTATGTGTGTGCGTGTGTAATATAGACACACGCATATATAAGCAATTACTTCTCGATTCCTAAGAAAGTTTAGGAAAAGAGAAGAAAGACAGAATGCAAAGTCACTAATCTTTTAAAATTATATACCCATCAAAAAAAAAAAAAAAAGAAAAAGGAAAATTTCATTTCTTTCTCTTTGTTTTCTCAACAATTATTTGTTTCCCAATTCCTAAAGATCAGTATCCAAGTTTCCTCTTGATCAAATTGGAGTCCCACAGTATGTTTCTTGTGATTTCTTATGTATGAGTGAATACTTGCTTTTGTTTATGAACGTGCATATCTATGTATGAACTATAGTGTATCGACTGTATTCATGGCTAATGTAGTTGCAGAAATCTACGTTATTTCTCATGTTCCTTTATGTTTAGAAATTAAAATAAGAATTTATTGTACCACAGTGGATTGACAAAGATGGAAAGACCCCACTCATTGTGGCTTGCATGATTCCCGAGCTATTGATTGTTGCGAAAACGTTGATTGAACTTGGGGCAAATGTCAATGCTTACCGACCCGGTATGTAAACTGCATTCATATTCCAATTTGTAGTTTTTTGCAATATTATGTGTAAAAGTTGAAACCTTTGCAATTAAGAAGCTTAATGTTTCTCAAATGCTACTTCATTGCTTCTGAGGTCTAATTATTTTGTTGTAATTATCTTTTTGATGGTAGTCCACTAAATGGTGTGATGAGATAATGTGAATTTGATGCATTGTGGTTTCTTAATCATATTAGTGGATAATTTCCAACAGGGCGTAATGGGGGTACTCCCTTACATCATGCAGCAAAAAGAGGCCTGGGCCAGTCTGTAAAGTTGCTTTTGTCCTCTGGAGGTATGTCTTCAAATGGATAAAAACTGTGTTGCAACTCTGGACCTCTATCCTTTAGATTGGTAGAGGAGCAACTTGTGTTTAATGTATGTGGAAATTCTAGTGGATTTTTACCTTGTCCTTCTAAAATCATTATCTGATTGATGCTCCAGCAAATCCTTTAGTGAGGAATGATGATGTTCAAACTCCACTTGATGTTGCAAGAATGAGAGGATTCAGCAATGTAGTCCGTGCTGTTGAGGTATGCTTGACAAATGAAAGGAGCAATTATTTAGAGAAAGCTTCTGTGTGGATTTGAAGGTTGTACTCTGATGGATGTCTTATATTTATTTTTACTGGTTTTTCAGAGTCATATTTGCTTTTTCTCTGGCTGGCTGAGGGAGTTCTATGGTCCAGGCTTTCTCGAAGCATTTGCTCCTCAATTGTTATCAAGAAAGATGTCTGTATAATCTTTAATCCATTTTTATCAATCCTTTCCTGACGCCCTAAAACTTTTTTTTTTTTTTTTTTTCATCTAATACGATTATTATCATCAATAATTGGATGTGTGGAATATTACAAAGTCTGCCCAAACTTACAAAGGCCATCTGAAGCATTACTTCTTGCAAAGCATTATGTATATCTGCTGACTGAAGTTTTTTAAATTGCAGTTGGGCCGTCATCATACCTTGTGGTTCTTATAATCCTACAAAACCTCTGAAATTGGAGCTAGTCATTTATTCTACTATGCAGGTCACGGATTTTTAATTGGTTACCTTCTCTTAGCAATATAATTTGGATTTCTATTTATTTTTCAAGGTAGGTAATATACTCACACACACACAACTCACACACACACATCCCCTGTTGCCCCTCTGGGGACTTGAACCTTCAACTTCTTATGTAGGAGAAGGAGGAGATACCACTTGAAATGCTCAGTGGTAATAAGCCCCTTCCATACCACACCCAACCCCAAATGGAAAAAAAGTAACAATGATGAAGATACAAGCAAGAGGCATGTAGTTTTTGAATAAAACTCTCTTCTCACTAATATAGAAATACTCAAAAGATTCAATAAATTGAATGACAAAAAATGACTTCTTTTGATTTCCTAGACTAGTGAAGTCCCAAAAAGTAAGGCATTAACGCTATAATTGTTTTACATTTGGCGATTGCTTACAAAGCGCAAAACAGGCACTAATTACGCAACTCAACAAGCTAAGCCTATGTATGAAATTTGACCTATGAAATATATTACAATCTTCGGAGTACTATTCCCCTCTGTTACCTTTCCCCTCATGTTATATGGTAAATATGTGCATTTCTTCCTCTGGAAGTGTTTGATTAAAGCTGCTGGATGAGACTTGTGGCATATATCAATTCCTCAAAAAAAGAATTTTCCCTTTTGAATGTTAAACAATCACTATTAAGGATTTTTTTTCTGTATTTCCATATCATCACCACGATAAACCTATGGGAAGACACACTACAAATTAGGTATTCCACATTCTAGGATAATGTGCCGATGGTGCTTTGCAATTTCTTGCTACAGAACACTGCATGGATATAACTGTTGTCATTTGTTCCACTGCATGCTTTAGTTTGTAGTTCTAACTTACACTGTCATTAATTAGCTGTTATGGCACTTTTATTTAATGAACAGGATGCCCAGCCCCGTACAGTTGTTGCTCTATGGAAGGCCAATATTGAGGAACAAAACTTCCAGCAGCCAAATCCTGCACTGATAATATTTGACAAATCCACCAGTATATTCTTTTTTTCTGAAACTACAATTTTTTTAATTCCCTTATGCTATTTTATCTTGAAAAGGGTTTAAGTGGGAACATTTGTTTATGATAAGATCTTCTAGTGTAACTTTATTTAATCCATTAACAAAAAGTTGCACTTTAGGTTAATTTCTATTGCAAATCAGGTCCTTTGATCTTTATTAATTCCGCTTTCGGCATATATTATTTTGAGTTTTTGTACTATCTCGTCATAGAGATATGTTAAGGGCCATTTTTTGACTTAAAATATTTCTCTGAGGGTTCCAAGCATATTTGACTTGATAACATATGAATTCTCTCTTATATACAGAAAGATATCTCAACTTACTTTTTAGGCAATAGTTTGTATCTTGACAAGCATACTTATATGATTATGTGCATCTGGCTATGACGTAGGAAATACTTTTCCAATTGATGATTGGTGTGTTTTTACCCTCTTTGCTGTTATGCCAGTGTCCACCCTCGTTTGACCTGTTGTATCTGTATAATGAGGAAGTGTGGACAAAGTGACAAACACAATGATAGATGACTTTTTTTGGGTAATGAACTTATGGAAAGTAATACTATTCGCTATTCTTTTGCTTTCTTTATTTTCTTAAGCACCACATGTTTTAAATTAATGAATTCACAAAGAAACAGATAATACTGTCCTTGTTTCTCCATTTGCATGTCTATGTTCATGTCCATGCTAAAATGTGACACTGCGTCAATCTTCACATATCATAGGAATTTGGTAGAGATTTTGTGAGTTTCTATTGAGCACCTTGGTGAAGAGAGAAGTTATGTAGTTTGAAGTTAAAATGGTTCATTTTTGGGCTCATTTTGTTTAGGATTTGTGATTTAACAATTAACAGTACCCTTCTGTCCAATTTTTGGCCCGAATACAAAATTTAAGATTACAAAAACGTAAAAAGCAAGAGCCAACCAGCAAAAAACTGCCACAAACTAGGCATAGGACCTTTTACTCCGCCAGAGATATATATCACCGCAACTTTGAAGTGACGGCATTTATGGAGAAAGAACAGGGAAAAAAAAAAAAAAATGAGCAAAGTTTTGAAGTAACAACTTAATATTCTTTGGAAACTTTTTGGCTATTAGGATTTTAAGAAGTCCAGTAAAGAAATTAATATCTAGAACTTGTGGACATGGACATGATTGTGGAGTTTTGACACATACATTGGGTACTGGACATGGCAACTCCTCAAAATCTAGACACACAGACAGCTATATCTGTATGTCTATGAATATATTGTGAGTTGTGCAGCATGAAGAATTATAGAGAGTAAAACAATGATGAAAATAATTATATCAGAAGTTTTTTGAAGAAAAAGCATGACACATTTGTATATTTGAGTAAATGAAAGTGGAGTAGAAAGTGTCCAAGTGTGTTTCAGACTGGAATATATATTTTTGATGTATGGTCAGTTCTCTGACACGGCAACTGTCAGTAGGGGTAAGTGTATCATAGTTTAGATGTAACAGTGAGTACTTACTGTCAACTTAATTGAGGTTTTTGTCTTAATTGTTATTTTTGAAGTAAAGAGCTAAATAATGTTTCGCCTACTAGCATGTTTTGCTACGTACACATCATTTTCTCTTCCTTTTGTTTTGGTATAATCTTTATCCATATGTTTAAGATCTGTTCTCCTTGCTGACCATATATTCTTTATCATAATTTCCATAACAGAAACGCGATACAAGTTTGCACCTGCCAATGACGGTGACAGATACCAACTTGAATGTTTATACAATGCATGCAGAGGGACTCCTCAGGTACGTTGTCAAAGCGCAGGTCTTGATATTCTTCGACACTGTGTGAATGTAGCTTCTTGTCACATATCATGCATGACATGGGACTCAATTCTTTAGCATTTGTTATTTAGAGGACTGCATATAATATAAAGAATTTGTGTGCTTCTATTTGATGTATTGTTTAAGTTTTAGTTATAGGTATGCATAGCATGATGATGACTCATGAAGGGAGATCTGGTTTCTGCATCTTCTTAGGTTCTTGGTCAACCAGGATAAGTATATATTGTTGTCATTGATGGGTTATTTAGTATGCACCATGCCAGGAACATGGGTTTGGTTGATATTTTTTGAGCACCGAGCAAATCAACAGCTTAAGAGTCTTAGATGGTAGATATGAATCATATGATTAGAACATTACATTAGAAAATACTGGAAGGTGGAATTACTTGGTCATATCTAGGTTATAGAATGATCCTTTTATTTCTTTAAGTTGAAGTGTTACCGATTCTTGTCGCTGAAGTAAATTTCCAAAGGGGTGTGCCAAAACCATGCTTAAAACTTTGTTTTTCTTCTTCAAATGCTTAGTTTATTGTATAAATCTCAAATGAAAAATGCATTGGCAATTTTTCAGTTAGTGTTAGATGATTAGGAACTGTTTTTTTGTGTCTGTTGTATGTTTAATGGCATTTTTCAATGTGAACTTTGACTGCGAGAAGGTTGTGATATACAGGTATTGTGATCTTCATACCTAAACTACACAGAGTGGGAAATAGAAATGACAAACTCATCTAAACTCAATTCAAACAAAGTCCTTTTCCAACTACTTGGGATTGTATACATTAAGTCTAAGTTTTTCATTTTGCTTGGAGCCATAGCTTCACTCAAACCACATGCTATCATATATTTCCTTACTAAATTTCATATTAATTTTTGTCTTCGCCTTTCTCTAGCATTACCCTCAATGTGGACCATCTCACTCTTCCTAACTGGTGCACCTAGTGGTTTTTCTTTTCACATGTCTAAACAATCTTAATTGATTTTCTATCATTTTGTCCCCAATTGGGATTATTTAAATCATCCCACGAATGTGTTTATTCCTAATTCTATTCTTTCCTGTTTTGTTAGAACCAATATGAAAATAAGACGTCTGTTCAAAGAAAAACATGGAAATTGCTTTATTTTCTGAAACATCAGTAATCATTTGACGTATTATCCTGTTTTGCATTCAGTTTTATTGTTTTTAGAGTTTCAAAGATTTATTTCCTTGAATTTTGTTTGCTTTATGTCATTAACATACTAAGGAATGAAATTTGTTGGAAGTGAATGAAACATTTGCTTATTATGTAATTTTGTGAAGACATTGATCACCTTTTTGGAATTTTAGGTTGTACCTCCCCCAGTACTGCCTAATACCCAAACATCAGTTCAACCCAATGCAACTCAAACTGCTACAGAAGCGGCAGAATTAGCTATGTCAATTAATGCTTCCATTCAGTCTGGCATGGAGGATAGACCTCCCCTTCATCCTAACAACCACCTGAGCTCTGAAGCTAATAATTTAAATGGTTGGGAAAATACTACAAATGACACGAGTCACAATGGTTGGGGCGCACTTGGTGGATCCAAACCTTCAGAAGCAAGCAGCAGCGGATGGATTGGTGAACCAGCTAAAGAAGATAACAGTGGTTGGAGTGTGCCTGTGTCTAAGCCCACTAGCAATCCAACTCAAGATATTCAAACGCCACCAGATAATGTTGTTCCTATTGTTCAAACAAGCAATGCAGTTCCTGCATTGGTTTCTTCAGCTCCGCCAACTCCTTCAGCTCCACCAGTACCTGAGGATATTTTAGAAGGAGCAGTTCACTACCCATCAATTGATCTCAGCCCTGTAGACATGTATATTCCTTCTATAGAGCATGGAAATTCTACAGGTAGTGAAGCTAAAGATGAAGGTGGTTCTTCCTCATGCGTGATTTGTTGGGAAGCTCCAGTAGAGGGAGCGTGCATTCCCTGTGGTCACATGGCTGGTTGCATGTCTTGTTTAAATGAGATCAAAGCCAAGAAGGGGGATTGCCCAGTTTGCCGAGCCAAGATAAACCAGATTATAAGACTCTATGCTGTTTGAGGTCTGACCAGTGAGCATGTAATATCGAGTTTGCACTATGTGTGTGTGTTATATCAAAATTCGTTTCAAGTCTGCATGTTGCAAATGGGGAGTAACAATTTTTGTAAGGTTGACTTTCAGCAGAATTTTACAACTTCAGAGCAGCCGTGAGAATGTCTTAGAGAAAAACTTTGCAGTCTGTGGCGTTCGGGCGTGGGAAACATTTTCTGGGGTGTGTATGAAATGATGTAGAGGTGATTTGATCTTGTAATATTCCTTTTGGGCCGGTGAACCAAGTGAACAGTATAAGCATGTAACATGAAGATGGCTCATTTTGCATTCATCAAAGTAAGAAGTTTTGTGGGCTGCAGTTGATGAAATAAAAATGAATGAGATTTGATGGTCACGGATAGAAGTGGCTGTCCTTTTCGTTTCTGTTTGGGCTTTCTTCGATTGTGAATTTGCGATCTTGTATGGTTTCAAAAAATTGTGCTTGTGCTTGGTGGAGCTTGTAAAATATGTTCACTATTTATTTTAGTTGGATTGTGTGTGTGTATATATATATATATATATATATATATATTATCGAGAATAAATTGCTGAAAATTTTCAATTTCAATTACAGAGAACTCCCTTAAATTTTCAATTTCAAAATTAATCCCTCTTCTACTACTATGTTTTTGGAAAATTATCCCAAGAGCCAACATTAGCCCAACCCACTGGGTTTCGTTAATTAATAAAAAGGGCTCATGATAATAATAAGCAAATGTGAGGTGATATTATTTCTTCCATAATGCAAGTATTTTATTTAACTTGATATTTTTTTTCTTTATAATATTGAATTTGAGTTCTCGAACAACTGCTAGGTGACATTCACACTTTTTTTATTTTTTTTATTTTTTAGAAATACATTTTTTTTTAATAATATAAATAACAAAAAATACTCCAATACTTCATTTCATTTTATTTTAATATGGAGTGCATTGTAAGAAGAGAATGCAAATATTCTAAATCCACATTTAACTACTCTTTAATTTATAATGATTATCATAGTTTTTGTGAGGCTCGCATGAGATTGTGATGGTAACAAGGAAAGGAATTAGATTAACAGTCTACCTTTGTCCTAATTGATTTGAGTCGTAATTTCAAGTTCTATGTCAAGGTTCAAGACTAGTAGAGAGATGAGACATATAAAATAAAAAATAAAAATTTTCTTTTAATCATCACGGACTGTATTCCTGAAAAAATTCCCTCTTGAGCCCTGAATGTACTCAATATTTCATGGTTTAGGTATGGTTGGAGAAGGATTGGGGACACCTTCATTACCAAAAATAGAAAAATAAGTAGAGATGAACATAGACTTCATCGTTACCAGAATTCTATGAAGTCTTGAGAGGCATCTTAATTCTACCACCAAACTTACCCTACTCATATTTCTATTTTCAGAAGGGAGATATACTATTCCGAATTTAGTGTTACACATCAAAGTGACACTGCGAATGTGAATTTGATAGATCATCCATCCGTTCCTTAGAAGTAAATAAAGATCATGTAATAATTACCAGATACAATGGGTAAAAGTCCACTCACCCATCTACTCAAAGATGACTTCCAAACACACCAGCATGTGTGTGTGTATATATCTCATGAATTGACAATTTTTTTATAAAAAATTATTTGCAAAATGAGTTACGCTATCGGGTATTTATAAAGTTTGTGCATTAGTGTACTGATATACTTATATCAAATCAAATTTTGTTAACAAACCAAAATGGGTCTCCCCAGTAGGACCATACTTTATGTTGACCATCCAATTAAGATTATCAGGAGATGCAACATTCCACATGGCTTTGTGGAGCCCATCTGATATATATGTAAAAATAAATAATAGTCCCAATATTTTATAAGTGTACCAAAATAATTCTAATCATAACATAAAATACTGGGACTATTATTTGTGAATTATGAAAATATTAATGCCTCTAACCAAACATAGAGTTATTGAATGTGTAATTAAATTTATGTGAAGAGCATGTTACTGCCTATAAAGGGTTGTCAGTTGTCATTTCATTGTAGGTGGAGAAAATGCCTCACATACATATAGGACAAGGGCATTTTGGTCAGTAGGGAAGGAACTGTCATTCAAACTTTAATAGCCCTTGAAGCTTGTTGTTTTTTTTTTTTTTCCTTCATGTCTCCATCTTAACCTACTGTCTATCTATCTCTTTCCTTTTCCACAAAAGCCCTAGCTGCTAGCATTGTTCTACTCCATCTCTCACTCACTCACTCAAACACACACAATCCAATAAGAATATAAAAAATATATATATTAATAATTCAATAACGAATGGGAGTTGCTTCCTCTATTTTAGGAAAAAAGCCGATCTCTTTGTAATATTTTGAGGAGAAAGCCTTCTAAATCCAGCACCACTACAACCGAACCCTCCCAAGATTTTTCTGGTATTTGCTCCAAACAATGAAACTCCAAAGTCCACAGAATTAAGTGAGTCTTTTCACTACTCTCCCATCAATCTCATCCATCACCCCCACTTTGGTGAGCACTCGCTTCATCACTCTCTCTCTCTCTATCAAAAATCCATTTCTTTTGCGCCCCCTCACTCCCTCATCACAAATATGGAAATCTTGTAGCATCAATCAATAACCATTTTAACCAAAAACAAAAATCAATAACCAGAATCTCTCCTCCTTTTTCCCTTATTTTCCATCAAAACAAACACACTCAGAATCATCATCAACTGCTGCCTGGAAGCATATATATATATATATATATATATATATATATATAGCTTGGAACCCAAGATGCATCTTCTATTCAGCTGATCAATTGAGTACATCTTCTCTCTCTCTCGCTCTCTCTCTCTCTCTCTCTCTCTATATATATATATATATATATATCTGCAGCTAGACTTATTTCTTATCTTACTTCCTCCCTTGGCCGGGTGTATGTTTGTATTATGTATTATTGTAAGAAATAATGAAACCCTAAAAGTGATCATCATCTTTACCACACACAACCCTTGTTTTTCTACAAGATCACTAAAAGTAGCCCATCAAGAAGAGAAAAGTAGAAGCCAGATAGATCACCCATTTTGTCCATGGATTCAATCCCAGTTGGAGTGGTAGAGAATTGTTCAGACCCTGAGAACACAACTTTGATCAACAGTGGTACTATTAGTACTACTGCAGGCAACAACATCATTAGTATCATCGGCTCTTCTCCAATTTCTTCATCATCATCGCCATCAGCTTCCACCACACCTAGCCGATACGAGAACCAGAAGCGGCGAGACTGGAACACCTTCGGACAGTACCTGAGAAACCACCGCCCACCGCTCTCTCTCTCCCGGTGCAGCGGCGCACACGTTCTCGAATTCCTACGGTATCTCGACCAATTCGGCAAGACCAAAGTCCACACCCCAATATGTCCTTTCTACGGCCACCCTAACCCTCCTGCCCCGTGTCCGTGCCCTCTCCGGCAAGCTTGGGGCAGCCTCGACGCCCTCATCGGACGCCTCCGAGCCGCCTACGAAGAAAATGGAGGGAAGCCCGAGACCAACCCTTTCGGAGCTCGAGCGGTGAGGCTTTATCTCCGGGAGGTTCGTGATTTGCAGTCCAAGGCCAGAGGAGTCAGCTACGAGAAGAAGAAGAGGAAGCGGCCACCACCGCAGCAACAGTTGCCGCCACCAACAGGTGCAGGTAGTACTAGTACTAGTACTGCAACAAACTTGAATTGAATTGAATTGAATGTTTGAAAATGTTTTAGGTTTGCTAGTAGCCTAGTAGTAGTTGTTGTCTACTCTATAAATGGCTACTTTTCCTTTATTTCCATCTTAAGATATATTTATGTCAGTATGTATAATGTATGTAATGTTAGTTGATTCCTAAAGTTGTGGCAACTACAAACCGTTCTCTACTGTGTGTTTTCTCTGTTTGCTGTCAAAGAAAACTATGCTCTTAGATTTGGGGTTTCTTAACTTTGCACTTTGATGCAAATAGCTAGTTTCTCTAGGTAGTGTTGTTTTTCTACTGATACACTATTAACTAATAGTAGTCTCTAGTACTAAAAGTTGTGTAGTCATAGTCCATCTGTAAGTGATTTAACATCTCTATTTACTCTTAACACTGGTCCATAAAGATTCATGAATTAAAAGCATTATATATATATATATGGGGTATTTGCAATTAGTTGATCAGTTTGTACATGTGAAAGCATGTTTGAGAACTTTATTTACAAGGAATGAGTTGTCAACAAGCTTGTCATGACTGATGTATGTCCAACACTGTATACCTGTTTGTTTTGTGGGTAGTATTTGCAGATTTCTGCAAATCTTTCTATCTGACTTTCTTTTTACCCTTTTTAGTTTCCCACTTTTACTACTTTACTACATGTCAAACACCGTGGCTGTGGCATGTAATTATTTGATTCGAAAGAAAACAGCAATTATTAATTTTTTTTTTTTTTGGAGCAAGTGTTTTAAGCTGCTAATTAATCTTGATGTTATGCTATATTAATAATGACATGGAATAAGTGCTGTAGAGTGAATTATGTGGTTAATTAATTAGTGAGGTGTTGTTGATGTTATTGGTGGTGTCATTTCATTTGAGAATCAAAAGATGGCAGACAAATCACTTCTGGTGATTAATTTTCTTGTGCCTTCAGAGTTGTTACTACTATAATTAACTGCAGCAAGTTGGAATATTTTATTTTAGTTTAAGGACAATGGCTGGAAACTATATATAATAAACTCATTTACTTTTTGAAGCTTACCTTCTTCCATTTTCCTTAAATGTATGTCATATCAGTAACAAATGTTTCCTAAAGAGGAGAAAGCATTAAGGAAGTGAGGTCACCGCAGTTACATATATGAACATAAAAATAATGGAATTGATCTGCTTATATTTTCAATCAAAATCAAATATTTTTTGGATCTATAGTAAGACATAAAGACAAAAACAAGATTGAAAACTTCCATTATTGATGCTAGGTAGCTGTGAGAACATGTACGTTAGTAATTAATTACACAAGTGAAAGTGATTGAGAAGTGATCTATATAACTTAAGATTCAAAAGCAGTTTTTTTTTTTAAAGTCAATCTGGCCGACAACATGTTATTGGCTAATGTAAGTGAACATTGATTTTCTGGTTATTAATTTGATTTGGATTAGGAAGAAAATTGCACAATCCTCCTATGTTTTGACAAAGAAGTGCCCATTTTATGTGCATTAGTGTTACACAGTAGGAATATTCTCACAATAATACACTAATCGTTTAGGTCCACAATAAGCATAGTTTTTTTTTCAAGTGTTTCAGTTTTGATGTAGAGCGAACCCCCTATATATATAGATAGATACATACATAATATAAGTGAGAAGTAATCAAAGCAATTTCTTTCAGTTCAATAAACAAACACAGTAAGAAGCAATAAGAAAAGAAGCTAGCTAGCAACTACAAAGTTTATACTTTTCAAAAAAAAAAAAAAAAAACTACAAAGTTTATAATTAAATTGTTGATTAACCTTAAGATTTGGTTGTTTTTGCTGTTTCGTCTTAGTTTATAACATGTATTTGTCTTAGAAGTTCTTAATTAAGATCTTGTTGTGGTTGATGTAGGACAACTGCAGTGGTTTGATCATTATTTTGCTGAATTACTTGATCTTCTCTCTCTTATTGTATGGTTTGCTCAAAACTGTTTTTTATGTTATATATGTTGAACTTATTGAATGAGCATTATAGAAGCCTATAATTCCAGCTTCTGATCAAATATAGTAGAGAATTCTCTATAGTATTTACTGATCTCTCTTCACTAACAAGTACAAAAAGAAGTTGCCATTTTTTTGTTTTTTAATACTTTGTTGGTTCATTATCATATATTGATGCATTGTGAGCTATGTTTTGTGTGTGTGAATATATATATATATATGTAACACATGCATGTACAGGCAATTAGATCGATAATTCTTCTTGGCAGTCCTCCATAAAATCCAGCTTAGTACCATTGAACTCACTAATTACCTAACAGGATTATAATCTTTCCCTTACATAGATAATTAAACTATATATCCTCTAATTAATGCAGTGCTTGTAAAGAAAATCTTGGGAAGTACAGAATTATGCATGTTTGTTAGTCTTAAAATCATATAGAACACATCTCTTCCAGTAATCTTCATTGGTGCATCGACTATATATATATGTGTGTGCGCGTGTGAAACTAACTCTAAAGATATACTTACCGAAAAGAAAACTAACTCTAAATATATGTTACCTAATTGATAAGTTAGTGTTTTTATTCTCTCTTTCCATACCATATATGGCATCATTAGAACACCCAATATTGAGTATACCATGAAATATATATAGTTGCAAGACAGTAGGACATCATAGTCTGTGGAGTTGCTATTGTTGTCAATTCTGTTGCTGCTACTGTTTTTTCATTTTTGATAAGGTTCATTGCTGCTTCCAATTTAACCATTTTCTGTACAATTTTGTTTGAGAATTAATGCTTTGGACAACAATTTTTGATTTGGAACACCCATCTCATCCCATAAATGAGGCACACCTCTAATTATCGAAGGACAAAAGTTGATGTAGCCTGCCATTAATTTCATGGGGCACATTGATGTCGATAGCCTAACCAATCTTTTTGTATTAGAGTAGATTGAATTCTAGCCAACACATAAATCTACTACTTGTTTTTGGATGAAATCACTAGTACCTAGCGTAGCCAGAAATTTTCTTCAGTGGGGGCAATTTTTAACAGCAATAATATATATATATATATATTATTTGAAACAAAATAATATATGTAAAAATTAAACGGTACTAAATATTTCAGAATATTTTTCATATTCTGAAAGCACGCAATCGAGTTTTAAAAATGTTCATGGCATAATAATAGTAAATTTAGATGATAAAAAATTATATATCAGATTACCTGTCTCCGCACTGCAGTATTTGTTTAGATTTTGTAAATTTTTGAAAATAAATAATGCATTTGTTTGTGGTAAAGTCAAAAGTTAGAAAGAATATCTAGTATTTTTGGAGAAAGTGTGAAAGAATATAATATTTTAAGAAAGTGAAAAAAAATATCATATTTTTTGAAAAGATTATATTCCTTTAATATCATATTTTTTGGAAAGATTATATTCCTTTTTTGAAAAGATTATGTGTAAGTCAACTTTTAGTGGGGACAATTATAGGAATATAAAAATCTTTTTATATAAAATTTTAAAAAAATTAAAAAAGTTAAAAATTCAGTGCGGGCAGTTGCCCGCACTTGTCCCTATGTGGCTACGCCACCCAAATTAGTGAAGCTAGTCAATCTCCTATTCGGTATAAAGTTGTATACATTTAACACTCCTTGGATCATGCACTGGGCTAGGCTAGCCTTTTTTTTAGAATAAAGAATAAATATACATAAAGAAGTGTAATAAGGGTCATAAAAGTGACATCAAACGATGGATATGATTTTCATCTAGTACAATTACTATGCTGTAAATGGATTATAGCTAGCATGCCCTACCAATAGAATCGAAATAAGTTAAATACAGATTCTGGGTAAAATAGCTAACTTAAAGATACATTCATGGCTGTTAATACTCAGAATGTGAGCTGTTACTTATATATATATATATATATATATATATATATATATATATATATATATTATTGGGACAGCAAAGTATATAGAAGAAGGTGAGGGTATTCAAAGTGCAAATGCAAGTTAGTAAACTAATCCATAAGAAGAATCCATGAATTGGATATAAATTTACATCAATCATGTTCATGTTACACTTGGGATAGCAATAGCATTGATAACTTAGTTGAATGGAACTCTAATTTTGTGGTGACCAATGTAACGTGCTCTTTACTCTTTTCCTTGTTTTAGTAAAACTGTGTGCCTTACCCACAAGAAAAAATGTGTGATCATAAAGACTGAAAAAAAGGTCAAAATTTACCAAATTCAACGTCACAAGTAATTGATTTAATGTGCGTACCACTACTTAGTTTATCTTTGTTTCCAAAAGTGTTAAGGTATCTTACTTTAATGACATGATTCACGATTTGAAAAATAAGGATATCAACTCACAATATGATTCTCGATCGATTTGACTACTATGATTGAGCTTTCTGGTTTCCAATTGGTTGCTTTCATGTTTAACTAAACTTCAGCAATACCAAAGTTTAATTCTAGCAACTGCAGTAACTTTGTTTTATTTACCGCCAAAAATAAAAAAAAATTACAGCTCCATATATTCTACAATTGTCGAAAAAGTTTTGTCACGTTTTACATGGTACTATAAGACCTTAAATCAAAATTGAAGTTTCATAGTTCAAATTTATATGATGGTTTTGGAAAAGTACAATGCCAAAGTAGAGACATGGAATTTCAATAATTTTTCTCTTTCCAATAATTTGAGTGTTGACAATAAAACTGGAAATGATCACAAAAGATCAGACCGTGTGATGAATACAAAAACTGAAAATAAAAATGATAACTCTTCTTGAAGAGAGAACAGGCCAGAAAGCAAAATAAGACTCTTCCTAAGGTGCTTGATGCTCTCTCTCTTTGAGGTTGGTATCACCTATCACTACTACACAACTGACAAAGTCATGTACTTTTCCCCTGTTCAAGAGTTATAATTTGGTAATCTCAAGGTTTGGATAAATTACAAAATAGATGATTATTTTAACTATCAGTAAATCCCTTATTTGTTGACAATTGGAAGGAGAAGGTGATTTTAAGTATGAAAAATTAGTAATGTCTTTATATTATAACAATATATATTATATTACTCTATATTAACGAAATGACAAAATTGTCATTTTATAAAATTATGTCAAGAAAAAAATAATAATGATATTAGAGATGTCATTGAACACATTAAATATTAGGTTAAAAATAATAAACCCAGAACAATATATTCATTTGTAATTTTGTCTAAACTCCAAAAAAATAT